CTTCCAAGCTGCGTTGTTACAGGCTGTTTTTCTTTAAGGCATTCTTCCTGTGTGAGTCTGATTTTAGCCCAGCACACAATTATAACCTGCTCATGGAGGTGTGGCTGAAAGTTACATCATCGGCTGAATGTCTTCCAGGAGTTGAGTTACACCCTGTTTTAGAGCATGCCGGTTCCCGTGATAAGGAAGACAATGCAATGACTTCAGTCTAAAACCGTCTTTTATCTTGTTTTCCGATATTCTCTGCAGAGATCAGATGTCATGATTACAGATAGAGATGGTTGAATTTTTCTGCAAGCATGAAGCAATTCATTGAAATATGTTTTCCGGATATCATTTTTAATATTATTTTTAGACATAAGAGCAACAAATGTTGCATTTATTATTTTCTTATTATAAACGTTTCTGCATCTGTGTACTTTCCTGTAATCAATGTCACTCTTGCATTCATGATGAAGTCTAAACTTATTTGAAGCTTATAGATTTATATGAATAAATGAATGAATAACTATTCAGTGATGCAGGAATCATTCTGTATCAGTCAAAATGATGCAAGGTTGTAATTTTTAAAGATATTTTTGCAGTGTAGTGTACACACATTTTGCAATCTTAACTCATAAGTAACTCATAAGACCTGTAGTCAGATGACACAGCTCCTAACCTCTGTTAACTGTGGTTTATGACCTGGAGCTCTTCTTAGGAACTTAATTATTTAGTGCTACATTGATATCTAGTATACTCGCAGTGTGAAAAGTGACAGCAAGGACAATCCCATCACATTAACAAGGTTAAAAGTCAAGTGTCTTCCTGTTGACAGCATGCTGGTTTTGATGAGATAAACACACCCAGGCCGTTTGGCACGTGCCCTGTGGAGCGCTGATGAAATATGTAAATCTTTATGAGTCTGTAAACATTTTGGAGCTGTTATTGTTCTCCTGCATTGACAAAATGCTATGTTTAAGCATGTGTAGAGTTAATAAATGAATAATGTGGTTTAAAATGAGAGAAGTTACTCTACTGTTCAGTAGTTTGGGGCCAGTATGTTTTTTTTGTTTTTTTTTGGAAATAAAGTCATACTTTTACTCCGCATTAAATTGATCAAATTTGACAGTAAATACATTTAAAATGTTACAAAAGATTTCTGATTCTAATAAATGCTCTTCTGTTGAACTTTCTATTCAGTACCATGGTGTTTCCCACACCTACACTTTTCTGGCGGGCCGCTCGGGTATATTAACGGCCGCCCAAGTATATTTGGAGAAACATTTTTGCTTTTATTATTTTTATCCTCTTACTTTTTTTATCTGCCTATTTTTATCCTCTTATACTTTTTTTTTTTTTTATCCGCCCGACATAATGAAACCATCTGCGATCGATTAACTAGTGTAAAAGTTCCCACGTGGATATTTCACATAAAAGACAGGGCTCGACCCGACAGTGCGGGTGCTTCATTCGCATTTGTGACTAAAAATAGATGTGTGCGAACTGTAAAATATATTTAGCAGCACGTGTGAATAAAGCAAAATCCCTCCGGGTGAGTTTTCTTAAATTTAATGTCATAAAAAGTCTTCAGTGCATGAAATGATAAAACAAACGTCTTAATGATCATTTTAAGAAAAACATAAATCGCGATACAGCCTATTGATTATTAAACTTCAAAAGGCTATGATTTCATAAAAATAAAAAAAAGAGCGCTGCAGTGTAACAAGGCTTCAGACTGCTTCAAAGTGATTCTCAATCAGTGAATAGCGCACATTTAAAGTCGAGTTGATGAGTTATGACAATGTGTACTTAATGACCTTTATATAATATATTTTAGACAGTTATAAGAATTCATATTTTATCTCTTATCTGAAGAATGTAATTAAATGTAACAGTTTGTCACATGTAGTAGACCATTTTTTAGCTGTGGGTATAAGGTTTTTCCACCCAGCTACCACCGCAAGTATATTTCAAACCTGTGGGAAGCAATGCATCACGATTTCCAGAAAAATATTAAGCAGCACAAGTGTTTTCAACTTTGATAATAATAATAATAATAAATGTTTATTGGGCACCAGATCAGCATATTAAAATGATTTCTGAAGGATCGTGTGACACAGGGTTCCATCACAGGAATAAATTACACTTTAATAGTTATTTAAAATTTTTATAATATTTCAAAATATTGCTTTTTTTCTGTGTGTTTGATCAAATAAATTCAGCCTTGGTGCAAAAATCTAACCGGCCTCAAATTTTTTAACAGTAGTGTACATGTGCAGTGATTTTAACAAATTGCAAGATCACTTTTTTGTAATCTAATTTAACTCGTTTATGAGCCAAACAGGATTTTCAAGTATGACTAATACATCTGGTAAAATACTTTGAACTGTTAAAAAATGTTTGTCTCCCATTTTTTGTTATTTGTAAGTACTTAATTGGATTTTTTTTTTATTTGGGTTTTTGCCACGTTACTGCTCTGCATAAAACTTTTCTTCACGGAACTATGTGCTTCCTTTTTTTCCATACAAACAGGAAATTAAAGGTGAGCTCAGAGTCTACATCTAAAAATAGCGTAGGTTGTCTGTGCTATTTTTAGGTACACTGCAATACTTGCCTCAGGTTTGTTTACTCTCTGATCTCACCCAGAAGGACATTCCAGGTAGGCTGTATCACGTTAGTCATTATAAGGTATACTTTAGTATGCATGATGTGGAATGCCCTTAGTTTAACTAATAGCATAATGTAATGATCTTTAATTAGCCCAAGAATTAATCAGCAACTTTTTCAAAAACTCCCAAACTTGAACTTTTGCCCAAATGGCTTTGGTGAAAATATAGTAGGAATCTCCAGAGAAATTAAACTTTCATATGGGACTACTGGAGGCCCAGCTGGTCAGGCGATGTGACCACCAAGGTCTGCTTACTACATTTTATGGGCTGGAATTCAATAAAGAACTTTTCAAACGGAGTCTGATTTTGCACAACTGAAGCCATGGATATCCAGAGAAATTGAACATCCACATTGGATAATTATAGAAGCAGTAATAAGCAAAAATATGAAGGCGTAATTTTTTAATATTATTAATGATTCTAAATTCTTCTTTGAACTGAAGCACAGGGGAAATCTCTGGCTCTTCTGGGGGAAATAAACATACTTAAGATGGTAAACTAGATACCTCGTTACCGGAAAACAACTGTTTACTTTGTCTTTTGAGCAGGAATTGTGTGGGAAATATGAGGTAGTTTCTCCAGTTCATGGATGTCACCTGTGTTTTCTGGTATGGTGTTTGAATGGTAGCCAACTGCTTCGATATTACCCTACCCATAGAAATGGTAAATTACAAAGTAAGGTCAGCTGTTTTATTTAATTACTAAACATGTGACCTGAGAGCTCTAGATTTCCTGGAGCAAATGGAGTGGGCTAAAGACAACAATGATAGTAGTTTAGTAATACAGCATAGAGCTAATACATTTTATTTGAACAAGGGCTGACTGAATCAGGTTTTCAGGTTTATGCAAGTTCTTCTTTGTGGGAAAGTCATGCATACTTTTGGGTACAAAAACTTGCATAATACAGGCCTATGAAGTGATGCAAATGAAGAGACATTTGACACTACTTATGAGAAGTTTCTTGGCAGCTCTTGCTTCCTGATGAACAGTTGGATGGCTTCCAAAGTCAGTGAAGAGGATCTAGTCTGCTGCCTCCATATAAAATTACTATGATACACTACAGTTTATTGTAATTTTATGAGAAATAATTCAAATTTGTTATGTTTTTTTTAATCACTGTAGCAGCTCCTCCCTGTGAAAATGTAAACATTGTAAGGTCACTGGAATGCAGGTCGTTTAATTTTAAAGGGGTCATATGATGCGATTTCAAGTTTTCCTTTCTCTTTGGAGTGTTACAAGCTGATTGTGCATAGCGAATATTGTTTACCTAATGGTGATTTGGAATGTCAGTTGGCATGCATATATTTGGGGGTTTTCTATTGTTTTTCAGGAAATGAACAGGTATATTCTTGTTTAAGGAAGACTCGTGCTGCTGTTGCGTCTACAGGTGCATCTCAATAAATTAGAATGTCGTGGAAAAGTTTCATCACAATTAAAAGAACCAAAGACTTAAACTAGTTCAGTCTGTGTGCATTGAATTTATTTAATACACGAGTTTCACAATTTGAGTTGAATTACTGAAATAAATGAACTTTTCCACGACATTCTAATTTATTGAAATGCACCTGTAGATAAGATGACAACAAATCTATGCAGACTTTACCATCTCAGTGACACAGCTTCTTTTACAGAGAATGTGGAAATTCAACCTGCTAATTGTAAACATTTGGCTTTCACTAAGAGAACTGCAAATGTTAACTTTTTTTAAAGGAAATATGTCATTGAGATGTTTGTCAAGTAGGGTTGGGTATCGTTTGAATTTTATCGATTCCGATTCTGCTTATCGATTCCGATTCTTATCGATTCCTAGTTTTGATTCCAATAGGATAAAAAATCCAATATAAAAAAATTAAGCCAAACATTTAGATGTCAAACATTTATTCTGTCTTTTTACAAAGCATTCTGTTGCAGCTGAATAACACGAGCAAAAATCAGCAGCCTACAGAACACTGCAAGAGGAATTTTGCCTATGCTTTAAAAAAAAGGAACAACCTTTTCTACAGTGGAAATACACGGAACGGTTCGAGAACGGACACAAACCGGGAACCCGTACCGCGACCTCTGTGCTTACGCTTCGTGTGCGCTGCACGCAAACAGGGCGCAAGTTCTTTCCGTTCCTGCACTTAAATCGTTTTTAATCACATTAAAATGCGAACGCACAAATCGTTAAGCAGAATCGAAATGCACGCGTCTTATCGAATACCCGGTTCTTGGAAATTTGGAACCAGTTCTAAAATGGAACCGGTTTTCGATACCCAAACCTATTGTCAAGTTAAAGAAACTCTATAGTTCTATATACGCTATAGGTGCATACTTTCTAAATCCCCTTTTTCTTGTTTTTCTTTTCAGAGGGCCAATGGAGCCACCACCTAAGAAGGAGATGGTCCCATTGCCCAAGAGGCCAGATGAATGGAAAGACCCCTGGCGCAGGTCTAAGTCCCCTAGGAGAAGACCTGGCCTCATGGGCTCCCCTCCACGTGGCCGTAGACGACACAGGCCCTCCGGATCTTCAGTTTCCCTTTCCAATTCATCTAGGTAAGATATCTGCCATGGAACTATTGAACCAGACATTGGTGTCATTTGATAAGGGGATGCTTTGCCCACTTTTTTTGCTAGTTAAAGGGATATTTCATGAAAAACCCTCATGTCATTCCAAACCTGTTTGTCATTGTTTCTTCTGGAACATAAAACAATATTTTGAGAAAGATGTTGTTTTGGACCCCATTGACTTTCATTATATGGACAAAATCAGTTGAAACGTTTTTGTGTTCCAAAAGAAATAAAAAGTCTGAAGAAATACAGGTTCGGAACGACATCAGGGTGAGTAAATAAATGAATTTTTATTTTTGGGTGAATTGTTCCTTTAAGTTAAAGGGTGGTGCTTTTATTTAAACATTTCTCAATTTTTCCAGGTCTTCATCCCGATCCTCATCGTTCACGGGTTCTGGCTCTTCCCGTTCCCAATCTCATTCACGGTCATCTTCAATGAGTTCCTACTCAAGTCACTCCTCTCAGCACAGTTCTTTCAGCGGAAGCCGCTCTAGGCAAGATATCACAGTTCACGACAAACTTGATTTGTCATGCTAATTTGCTGTAATGACTTCCAGAACATTCAGTATACCACATTTATAATTGGCTTGCTTTTACTGTGAATCTTTGCTGTTATTAATCACTTTATTTTCTATTGTCTAGATCACGATCCTTCTCTTCCTCACCCTCCCCGACCCCCTCGGCACAAAGAAACACTAATAAGAACAAAGCTGAGCAGCCTCCTGGTGCAGCATTGAAAGGGTAAAAATACACACACTCATGCTCTCAAAACACATTTGGTTTATACACTACTGTTCAAATGTTTGGGGTCCGAAAGATTGTTTTTTTTTTCTTTTTGAAAGAAATTAATACTTTTATTCAGAAAGGAACCATTGAATTGATCAGACGTGACAGTAAAGACGTGTTACATAAGAACTTTCTATTACTCAAAGAATCATGTGTCATGGTTTCCACAAAAGTTTTAGCAGCACAACTGTTTTCAACATTTTTCTTGAGTACCAAATCAATATATTAGAATGATTTATGCCATGTGACTTTTCCATCGCTAGAATAAATTACATTATAATATTTATTAAAGTTATTTAAAGTTGTATTAATATTTCACAGTATTGCTGTATTTTTGATTAAATAAATCAGAAATTTCTTTCAAAAACTTACCAACCTTAAACTTTTGAATAGCAGTATACTATTCTGTATCAACACAAGCCTGAGGTTCAATATTTTGTCTATTTTTAGCCATAGTTGTCAGTACTGGTCTTCTCATTTACTCACTGCATGCACATGAAAATACATATTTTCATTCAGCCATCCATTGAAGCCTGGTGCACTGCCCCCTCCTCGCAGGGAGAAAGGACCCCCCAAAATGATGCCCAGCCCCTCGTTGCCTGAACAGCTGGGAAAGCCACCCAAGCCAATCACAGAGACAGGAAAGCCCCCCATCCCCCGTCCAGCTGGAAGACCTCCTGGACCCAGAGAGCCGAGAGAACCAGCCAACATGAGAGAAGGACGCAAGAAAGAACGTCAACAGCACAACCCACCCTGCAGGTACAGCACACGTTACGTGTTCATTCTGCCACTGACACACACTATCACTCTTTGCTTTGTTGTTTTAATGGCCATTTACATGGATCATCAACCCAAAAATTACAATTCTGTATTTACTTATGTTGATCCAAAATTTTTCACATTTCTTTCTTTTGTAAAATGCAAAAGGTTTTTGCATTTTTTCCCCCTTCTCCCCATGAGATGATGAGGGTAAGGGTTGTCAATTTCCAAAATAACCAACGGCAAATTAATAGTGTAGTAATAGTCTTTTTAATCAAGAGAGTTTGACGCCCGTTTGAAAATGGTTATGTTTGCAATTCTCTTTCTGCTAGTGGCATGTTAAGTGTTATTTTCAGTGAATAATGATGTAAAATGTTCATTTATTTCCTTGAATTCAGTCTGTTTGTCACACAAAGCTTGAAATATAGAGCATGAATCTATATTATATATTTGTTTTTAATTCATAATACATATATGTAGCGAATCAGCTCATGGGGAAATATTAATAATTAATCATAACTAGTTATAATTAATTATAAATATTTAGATCCGCTGTAGATATTTACTTGACCTCTCAGGGTCAACTGTCTGTCAATTCTAAGAACGTTAATTTCCTGGTTAAGGGAAATAACTTTCTTACTGTACAACTCTACACAGAGCCTGTAGCATAAAAAATATAATTTATTTAAATAATATTTCTTTTTATTATTTTTATTTTAGAGCTTTGTGTCAGACCCGGTTTGTTTGTTTTTTGTTTTGTTTTTTCTATTTATTGATTTAATCACTTTGTTTTCCATGGAATAAAATGTCAAAGGGATTTGGAATGACATGAGGGTTAGTAGTAAATAGAAGAAAAACAATTTCTTCAAGGTTAAGGATTGCATCACCATAAGAGCTGGAGATTTTTTTTTGTGGCTTGAATATGAATGTATGCTTGTGTTGTTGTTTTGTTTTTTTGTGGTTGTTTTTTGACATTTGTGTTTTGAGTGTATTTGCATATGAACCATTACCCAATGACCAGTGTTCTAGAAGGGTCGCTTTTTCAGCACAGGGAAGCAGTATGTGACAGTTCTATGATCTGTAGCAGTGAGAGTGAAGTTTCACTGTGGATGTGGCATACCCTGCGTGGGCGTTCAGGAAAATCTCCTATCCTGCTTGTTCTAAAGCTTCAAAACAAAGAAGCTTTTGTGGACTTATCATAGTTGTCATAACTGGCATTATGTCATTGGCATTTGGCCAGATGTTGTTAGCACATCTGATGCAGATTAACCTTTCCTCCAAACCTTTAATATTTCATGTTAATATCAGTAAGTAGGTTTTTTTTAAGTCATTGTGGCTGGTGCTTGCTCATACAAAACTTGTAGGTTGTTGCTCTGCGGTTGGATATTGTGGGTGGCTCTTAACCGGCCGTGTCTACAAGATTTCTTTGCTTATTCTCCACCACTCTAAAATGGTGAAAATAGGAGGAAAATCTTCTTCCTCAACAAACTTCACCATTATGAAGCATCATTCATGTCTGTTAAGGACGTGCTACACTGAGAAGTCACCTAAATATTCTGCAGCCCCCATGTTTGGATTCATAGGATCATATAAAAAAAATTTTTTTTTAAATGTTGTATCAGCTCTATAAGACAATAGGGCAAAGGATAAACCCTTCAACAATTTAAAAAAAAAATTTAATAAAGAAAGAGAACATTTCATGATCACTTTGACTGGCAGGAATTTGGGTGTGTGCTTTGCTTGTAAGATATTCAGATTTTCTCTTATCAAGTGCCAGCTGACTGTACTTTCTGTTCTCTCGGCTCTAAAGGCATGTGATGTTTATTTTGCACTTTTTGGGGGGGGGCTCATACTTGCCAAGACTGCATTTATTTGATCAAATATAGAATACAAATGTATTAGGGCTGCACGATTAATCGAATGCGATTGTCATGCGCATTTTGTTAAAAAATTCTGTAATCAGCAGGAAATCATCATTACGCTTTCAGATGGAGCAGAATTACACATAGCCGTAGTTCACTGACAAGTTACGCAAAAAAATCGCAGACGATTTTATTGCGCGATTCTGAAATCGAAGAAATCGTTTGCGATAATGACAGCTGTTTGCATAGCTTCTCAGTGAACTACGGCTCTGTGAAGTAAATGCTGCTCCATCTGAAAGCATGTGAAAATACCACATTTAATAACATATTTTTACTCCAAACTCACTTCATAACGTCAGTCGAGTGTTTGAAATAAATCCTTCTGTGAGATGATGTGGCTTCTTACACAGAATAAGGCACGCAACATATTTCATAGTATTTAAAGGGGTCATATGATGCTTTTTTAAAGATCATTATT